CAATCGATAGAAAAAATGGAGTTCTAGCGAAATAGTTTATGATTTTTGTCGACTGGTACATTGCAATTGGCCAAAATAGGGATCAAAGTGGGCGAAATCGCCAATGCGTAAACATCGTCGAGACCGCTAACTTTGCAAGAGCATAATTCCATAAGTTTTTCCATCAAATTTCATACTTTTGGTGTCATTATGATCAGGAAAAGATTCTCTATCATTTCATAAGAAAAAAATCAATTTTTTTTTTTTTTCAAAAATTTCCGACCTTGAGAACAAGTTTAGGAGAGGGCCTGCCGACCCTGAAAGGATTAAAGATTACAGCATTTAACAATGCACTGGAAAAACAGACATCAACTGAAACAAAACCAGGGCTAAGATTCACATTAGGAATGTTGTGTATGAGGGTGACTAACAAAACAGCATCTTTGGAGGTTACAAGAGGATAGATAACTTTGGCAGAGGAATAGCTTATACGATAGTACTCCTCTTTAATATGACAGAGAAGAGCACTGTTGGGGTCAGAGAGACAAACACTTCCCTAATGTTCTTTGTCAGAGAGAAAGCAGCCAAGTTCACCAATGTATTTGAGGGCAAGAAGAGCAGAAAATGAGTAGACAGTGGAAAGCAGAGTTGGCGTAGTAGTAATCACACTGCATTATGTGTATTACTGTGATGAAATGGAAGGTTAATATCTAGAGGATAGGGTTGAAAGTTTTTGTTACAGAAAAAATTATAAAGAAGGTAAAAAAGCACAGAAGATTTTAAGTTTTTGTACTTTGTCTTTCCTATTATAGGACCTGTAGACCATATTTGTGCCATAAAAGATAAATGCTCTGATTTAAACGTTTGCAATTTTTCATCGTCCACCCTATTCCCAGAGGTACTGCGACCTGTTTTTCATATTCCTTATTTTTGTGGGGTTAAATAAAACCTAACTGATCAAAATTTAAGTTACCTAACTTAAAATAAAGAAACAATTGAAGAAAAAAAAAAAGAAGTTTTTTAAAAACTGATGTTGAGCAAAAGATAAAAAAAAAAAAACTGACTAAAAAAAAAAAAGGTAACCCCCCCCCCCAAAAAAAAAAAAGAGTAAAGAAAACAGTGTACCCAACACCCCAAATTTCTATAAACTTTCAGCCCCATTTTCAGACAGACACTAAAGCACAACCCTCTCAACCTACTTTCATTCCTTCAGCCACAACTCAAGCACCCACTTTCTACTTCCTCACTATTTTTCATACCTTTGAGCATGACCTTCCTACCAACCTCCTCATGATTCCTCCACTCATCAACATATTACACCCATACCAACTGTAGTACCAACCTCATTCCAAATTACAGTAGGCCCCATACCTATCGTACTGGTTAAATTCCTTAAAACAGAGCTATACAGAAAATGCAATGTGTGCATGAAAATTTTGGGTAAAAACTTGGTTTATGTTCCACGATGCCTAAAAAAAAAGCCAAAAATTTTCAAGATTCTTTATTCATGAAAATAAATTTTTTGACACTCACACTGTAGTGTCATTGCTTGTTGATCTAAATGTGTGGAGAGGGTTATGTTGCCTAGTAGGCCAGGTTGGATGCACTAAGGCTTACATATTCAGACAAGTGAACAGTGACTAATTAGGTTATCTTAGCTAGTTTTGCTTTTTCTGTCTTGCACCGTGTGAGGCAGGACTTTTTATATAATGCACACTCATTGCACAGACCCTTTTCTCATATCTAGGCTTTTTTGAGTGAGCCGAGCTCACGAAGTAGAACTACGTTAGGGACCTCTGGCCATAATGACGTATTTCTACGTGATGGCCACTGAAAGGGTTAAGGGGAAATTTTTTTTAAATAAGGACATTGTTAGTTATACTGTATAGGAATTAATAATTCAAATTATATAAAGTAGCATACTTGGTAAGTTGTGCTTCTTTTTCTTCAAAGTACTGTGACAAACTGCTAATTTAATCATTGCCTCTTGTTTCTCTTGGACAGCTAAATCATGATGAGTCCGCAGTTCTGACATTCTAAACGTGTGGAGGACGTGCATCCTCTAAGTTTTTCTGTGCCATTTCACTATCCTGAAGCTGTTCTTTCAGATTATTGTGCTCCCCTTTTTACCCTCTGGAGTCAGCTTTGACCTGTAAGATAAATTACAGATTATGTTCATATTTCTGGGGGGTAACCAAATAAAGTTAAATTAAAAGAGAAAAGGACAGTCTAAATGTATATAAAACATTCAATTCAATTGTGAACAATACATTTATGCATTAATTTTAAAATTCAGCTCCTGGTTGAGAATGACTTCTGCACAGATTTTAATTTACGTCCTTCAAACCCCGCTTGTGAATAGGGGATTTCTCTCTTGAACCAGGAACTGGAAATCTCTCAATAGAGGCCAGATTTTATAGTTTGTAAACTTTTTCTAAACAAACTCTCACAGAAGTTGAAGCAGCAGCAACTGCAGCAGTGTTAAAACAACAATAACAACAACATAAATAAAAGCAATAACAACAGCAATAATAATTTGACTTTTTAGTAACTGAATACAGAAGAAGGGGGAATGAGCCCCTTGTTCCCCGCAATTTAGTCACCTTTTACAAACACATGGCTTACAGAGGGAAGAATTCATAGCTCACAGTGGACCCCAGTTATTGGCTGGTTCTGTTATCGGACAGTTTTTTGGCGCCCAGTTATCGGCCGTTTAATTCGGTTATCGGCCATTTGGGATGCGTCCATCTGCCGGCTTGGGCTGCTTGCGCATCGTTTGGCTTTGTCTCTCGGTCACTGAGGAAGCTTCTGTTCATACATCTAAACAATTTCGCTTTTTTTCCATTTTTTTTAGTGGGTTTTTTTTGCAGTGCAACTGTGAAAAAAAGTAACCATGCCTCCAAAGAAAGTTCCTGTGATAAAGAAAGTGACAAACACCATAGGAATTTAGAGGCACTGCCAGGACACACGCATGTTGTGTGCTAATGCTGTGGGGATTTCAAAGTGAAGCCTTTATTCGTGTATCAAATCAGAAAATCCAGAGTGTTCAAGAAAAAACAATGTCATGAAGAGTAGATTGTGTGTGTTGTGGAAAGCTAAAAGGCATGGGTCACAGGCAAATATTTAAAGAGTGGGTTAATGATGTGTTTGGCCCAAGTGTGAAAAAATACCTCTGGAAAAGAAATTGCCACTCAAGTGTCTCCTGGTCTGGACAAACTCTTTCACATCCTCCAGACTTGGAGACCAAGTGTTTAGGGGCTTCAATTTTATAAAAGAAGTTCTTGCCTCCTAACACCACTTCTCTCCTCCAGCCCCTGGACCAGCAGGTCATTTCTAACTTCAAAAAACTCAACAAAAAAAGCAGTGTTTCAAAAGTACAGTGGACCCCCGCTTAACGAAAAAAA